TTTTTCGGATTCTACGTAAAAAATATAGGGTACTTTGCGTAGAATAGTTATATTCAAATATTCACAGTTTTTGAGATATCTCGCTTGAAAGGTTCTTCTAGTCGATATTGGTTGCTTACATTTTCTGATACTGACAGGTTATACTAATAGCTGCTAAGCCAATTTTTTTATCAGATGTTTAGCAAGGATGACTCTTCCGAATCATGCTCCAAAAACTGGCCTGCGTTATACAGGGCGACCAAAATATCATTGGTCAAAATTGCCAATTGAAAAATTGAAAAATCTCGATTTTTTTAAATCCAACACCCTGTATATTTTCATACCATGAGATGCAGAATTAAATTCTCTACAACTTTGCTATACCTGCTCCTATACAAAAATTCATTAGTTTTTCATGAAATCTCATTTCTATGAAAAAATGCGAAGTTTACAAATAGCTTATATGTAAAATAACGGTAGTAGGCTCCTGTCAAATGATAATCTGTAAAATTTTTGATTCACATAAGGTTTAATAGAAAAGCGACAGTAATAATTGTGAAATGAATTACTCTAAAGAAGAATTAGTAAATAAATAATAGAATAATTAGTAAAACTCATGTTTACTGACAAGTCGTATTTACCAAACTAATAATCCAGATTTACAAAGATATCCTCGTACAATGTAAGCAACCAATATCGACTAGAAAAACCTTTCAAGCGAGATATCTCAAAAACTGTGAATATTTTAATAGAACTATTCTACACAAATCACCCTTTCTTTTTGATGTAGAATCCGAAAAAAATATAAAAAATGTGTGTTTCCATTTAAAAAACCAAAGTTGGTGTCTGTCCAGGAAAAGTAGAACACCCTGTATTTATAAATGAAGATACACCAATTATATCAGACAACTTGGTCCAAAGATGTTTCATTTGCTAATTACAGGGTGTTTAAGTTAAAATGAATACAATATTTTTGAAAAACCAATTAACCATTATAATGATGCTACGTTAAAATAGAATTCCAGCTCAATAACGTGTCGAGTAAAACAGAACTGCAACTTTTCGCAAACTTTTTGAAGACTGGCGTGTTTTGCGACAGTTGGAGTTTTGTTTTTCGGGTCCCGCTCGAAAGCGGTCACATCAAAAGGTTTCGACGTGTTTTGAAACTCAAGTCTGTTTAGTGGAAACGGTCGTGTTGTGTTTTCTATTTAAGTGATCCAATCCAATTTCTATGTTGGCGTTTTCTTCTTCCCAAAAACAATATTTTAATCATTAATGAATTACAGCTATTAAAAAGTATATATGTGTACGATTAATGTGTTTACTTGGCTAGTATACAGACTAACTACTAACCAAGTAAACACTTCAACCGTACATACATACTTATATACACTTACTTTTTTTCCAAGGACTTCGGTATAAACCAGCCATAACTAAGAATAAAAAAATCTTCTCTAAACATGTTGGTTGGTTATTGGAAAAATGTGTTCTGACTTCTTCGCGACGACCAGCGGAAAAGGATCGAAAACAAAAACAAAACTCGAACAAAATGTAGCCCTCTTGATGAAAACAAGAGTTTTGGGTTTGTTTCAGTTTTGTTTTTGTTTTTCAGGTTCTAGAAAACACAAACAGGACATAAACTGTACTATCCGTTTAGTGGAAAACCGCCTTAAAAATTGGCTTTGGCGTTTGTGTTTGACGTCGTCTATTTTGTTGTACAGAAAAATCCCAAATATTATGTAGAATAAAAATCCGAATTTGCCTATTCCAAAAAAACATTGCTAAATTCAGGGGAACAACAAACATACAAAAAGAACGAAAAATGGCTCGTTTTTCGATAAATTTTTCCCTGTAACATTGAAAGTAAGCCCTAAATAAAAAAAGTCATTTTTTATATTTGTTTATTTGACGATTTTCTATAAAAATTTTTAAAAGAAGTAAATAGGTATTTATAAATATTGATGAAACATTGTGAAGAAATAGTATTAAAACTTATGTCAATTCTACCCTAAAAATTTTGCAACAATCGATCGCGTGGTTTTCGATTGACAGGATTGTTAATTAAGAAAATTTCAAAAAGTTTATGGCATACCATGGGTTTAAATTAATTAGAAAGGGCACACAATTTTTCAGATTTACTTGTCATAATAAACAATGATCAATATTAATAATAACTAATCTTACACTTGTATAGCCATTTAGAATTTTTTTTTAATTTTTCGTCATTTTACTCTATAAACAATTATTTATTGCCCAGGGAATATTCTATGCAATCGATAAAATCTTGCACATATAAAAACTACATCGCAACCCCTTGCTTTTCCGCCAAATACCTGCGGCGCGGCTATTCTCACCCATCCCCACTCCCGTTCTGCCGAGAAATTGCAGTGATCACGGTACCTTTCTTGATTTTTCTNGGGAATATTCTATGCAATCGATAAAATCTTGCACATATAAAAACTACATCGCAACCCCTTGCTTTTCCGCCAAATACCTGCGGCGCGGCTATTCTCACCCATCCCCACTCCCGTTCTGCCGAGAAATTGCAGTGATCACGGTACCTTTCTTGATTTTTCTCACATTAACATTATAAGCTTTTATCTGTCGAAAATGCACTAAATCAATATTGAAAGTACTTGGTAGTTAGCTATAAAAACATTTTTTTTTCTCGACTTCACGATTACGTAAGCTATAAATTATTAACTTTACTCTCCGATATCTTAGAATCTACACAGTGGAATGCTTAGAAAAAATAAGTAGTCAGAAAAAAATTCATTGCGTAGGACTTTTACTTGCCGTAAAAAATAATGTACCTAATTAAGGTTTACAAAATCTCTCCGCCGCGCTTGCCGGGCTACCCCCACCAGCGCGCCGCTGAGCGGAGAAGCGGCTCGGGCGCGGTCTGAATTTTGTTTCATTTATTGCTTTTTTCAGATAAGAATTACTTCAGCTATAACTGCCAAATTTCAAGTCAAAACACTGAATAGTTTCGACGTAATCGTTCAGTTATTAAAAGTTGAGGATCTGGGCTTCTATTGGTCCGATTGTAATGATTTTTTTTTAATTTAGAGGAAAATAGCTTTGAGATTAGATGTTCTACTAACCAAAAGACACCCTCCACTGCAATTCCTGTAACAATTAAGCATTTTTTGTACTTACTTTCTCGATATACCTATAGATTTCAATTTTATTGACTTTTTTTAAATAAGTTGACAATTGAAAAACAAAATTCAACGTTAATAACCGAACCTATTTTATACAAAATTTGGTTTTGAACAATTTTTATATCATTACTTTTTTTTCTAAAACCATTAGTAGAAGAGCTATTCAAGGAAAAGTAAAAAACATGCTTATTGGAATTTATTTTGCAATAACAACGACCTTCCCGATTAGAGGCTTTATGGTTATCTTAATAATTTTTAAGATGCAAGCGCACCAAGCGGCGAAAGCAGTAAGCTCCGAGACAAGGTAATTTTGACGTTGCCGTTCGTATTTGTTTAAATGTTTACACATTCATTTGAACAACATTTGTCTTATTTGCCGTTATTATTAGTAATTTTGTTATCAAACTGCGGTTATTTGACTTTTGTGTTATTTTATAGGTTTCAAATATTTCATAAATAAATTTTAAGGCAAGTATTTATGTCTACTTTATTTGTCTCTAGCATTACAATTTAATGTACATTTTATTAGGTTTATGAACTTATGCGTTGTGGAATACATTTAATATTTACATATATCCCAACGAAAACTCTCATTGTACCTATATTGGAAGGAGAGGCAGTTTTTAACACTGATCATGTGGTACACTATATGGGAAAATTGGGCAAAGATAATTTAAATTTAGAAATTTATATTGTGTCTGCAAACTAGTGCCCTTACTTACTAACAACCCTCATGAAATTCAGGGAGTATTATTTATTGGCAATAATATTTTGAAAATTTCTTTCAATGGTTTAATGAAAACTTAATTCTGGATTTTTCTTGGACCATGAAGAGCAACCTTGAACTGAACAATAATATTTTGACAGTTTCTTCTTTTTATCCATAATTGCTGAAATTTTCCTCACACTATTTTCTTAAAATAACAGTGTTCAAAAAACGAACACTAAACACAGTTTTATATAAAATACAAAACGAAATGTCACACACAGAAGAAATGTTTACCTTGTTTCGCTAGTATCACTTGTCACCGCCAGAGGGCGAGCTCTTAGCATTCTTAGCTGCATTCGCGATCCAAAAAGTTGACTTTTTAATGCTTGACTCACCGACTAAGATGTATAATTGTTTTTATTCGTTTCACATTTTGAGTTTATTTTCATCTAAGGAAATTATTGTTGAAGATGTCTCATTAATTTCGAGACACCTTGTATATTTGTAAAATTGTAAGGCTGTATTTGTTTCACAATGCAGTTAAAAAAAATTAAAACAAACATCTTATATAGGATTGTTTTGTGAAATTTAATTTTCTTATTACAAAATATTCCTGAATAACGGTACAAATCGGTAGTTGTAGTAATCTTTCCGTATCCGTATATGTACATATTTTACAATATTTAAGAAAACCAACCCGTTTTAAAGTTTCAATTTTGTGGGGCTTTGCGTATGCGTAGTTCGAAGAGGAAGAAGAAGAAGAAGGAGATTTTGGAATTGGAAATTAAATTGGAATTATTTAGGTGGTTTGGCAATTTTACTTGTCTTGTAGCAAAGTTTACAGAATAAATATTCTGTAAGAAAAGTCATTGTTAAAGAAAATATTGTATTTGTTATAGTGGAAACGACCTCCCAAGTAGATCTTCTACAAATACATTTTTCTCAGATTTCCTCAGGTACAATGTACAGTAGATGATGCTTCGACAAAAATTTATTTCATTTCATGATTCATGAACTAAGAACGAACGAAACACCAGCAGAATTCTCTAATGTGATAGCAATGATCGTGAAACTGCTGAAAAATTATATCAATATGATATGAGAGAATTATCAATCTTTCTACGGTTAATTTTGAAGGTTGTCTTATAAACATTAAAAAATTAGATAATTTGCTATGAAAATTTCTCAGTAGATATTTACTTTCACCTGATTACAAGAAGTAAAAATGATAGTTTTTATTTATTTTTTTCCAGTTTATAGCAAGAAGAGGCTTATATCGTTTGTTGATAGTCATTGAAAATTGGAGTTTGATAATCTGGGTTTATTTATTCTTCTGAGGTAGAAGTATATCGAGTCTCCCACTAACCATGACAGTTGTGTCAGTGAATCGTACAAGATGACCATCTGCCTTCTCCTTTCAAATCTTCAGATTGGGATCTGTTCAACATCAAACGATATGTAAGTAGAAATAGGCATAAACCTTGTTTTACATTATGCCATAGTATACAGAAGGAGAAATTTTTCATATATAGGTATTTTGTTACTGCATTAGTATTTATTTATGAATTTTAAATATTGTATCGTATTAAATTTTTTTATATTTAACTCAAATTTGAAAATAAGTAAAAACAATTTTCGGATTTAAAATTAAGTGTTGGAACCACATATTTTCAGTTCAACTCAATATTTGATTTCAACCTGGAAACCAAACATTTTTTATTGGAAGTTCAAATTTGTTTTTTGAAATTGCAAATTTAGGATTTGAGCTTAAATTCTGTGTTCAAGTTCGAAGTTTGATAAAAATGTGATTGAAAATAATTGAGAAATTTTTATTTCTCAGCTGTTACCAGCCTCCTCGCATCTTCGTAACGAGTCCGAGGCTTAAAGGAGGGAAAGGCGCCAATACCTCATCCAGTATTCCACTCCGGTCGTAGAACTGAGGGGCCATTCATACAGATCCACATGGGCCCTCGGAATTTTTGCAAGCCGTTTTGGAAGAGGTTCTTCCACTGGTCCCGATGCAAACCGGGTTCGCACAATGTCATGTCGCTGGTTGAGCATATTAAGAAAACGGTGAAGGTAGGAAATATTTATTTTAAAACTTAAAAATTTACATTAAGCTACCACTAATGACACTATGGTAGATATATAATTGTTTTTATTCGTTTGACATTGAGTTTATTTTCATTCAAGGAAGCTATTCTTGAAGATGTCTCATTCATTTCTGGACACTGTATATTTCTAAGGCTGTCTTTGTTTCGGGATACAGTTATTAAAAAAAATTATAAAAACGATCATCTTATATATGTTTTGTCAAATTTAATTTTCTTATTACAAAATATTCTTATACATGGCANTTTGGTCCCAAGCTTAGCAGAGTTATTCTCGAACAACGAGGATCCTGATATTCCTGAGGAAAGAATTTGGTTTCAGCAGGATGGTGCACCGCCCCATTATGGAGTGCAAGTACGGGAGTACTTGAATAACACGTTTACTGGCCGGTGGATCGGGCGACGCGGAACAATCGAGTGGCCTCCGCGTTCGCCTGATTTAACACCTCTAGACTTTTTTTTGTGGGGCTATTTGAAATCGCGTGTGTACACAAACAGACCAGGTGATTTGGAAGAACTTAAAAACCGTATTCGTTTTGAAATAAATCAAATCGACCCGGGAATGCTTGAACGAAGTGTAGACGGCGTTTACACACGCTTAGGACAATGCCAAATGGTACAGGGTGGGCAATTCGAACAATTTCGCTAGACTTACACAAACATTAGTGTAATTTTACTCGTTTGAAATGTAATTTTGTCAACTTTGTCCTTTTCGGAGCCATTAATAGTGTAAGTAGACAATTATCACTTATAAGAACTTAAGGTACATTTTTCTAAAAAAAATTGTTATGTAAGACATCGAAATTTTCACACCGTTGTTTAGATAACTGTCATAATTTCGAACGAAAAAAATATGCGGTCATTTAAAAAAAAAATATGTCATCGCCGCCGTAAGTGGATTATCGAAAAAAAAAATTTTCCACATAAGGTGCCCTGGATAAAATAAAAATTGACGGGTCTCCCGTTTTTCGAACAAAAAATTGTTTAACAAAAATATGAATTTTATGCAAAACTTTTTTACCACACTGTATATATAGATGTTGTAAGAAGCGTTCTTACGTTTAATAAGTGTGTAAGAAGTTATATTTAAAGAAAATATTGTGTATGATATACTGGAAACGATCTCCCAATTAGATCTTCTACAATTATTATTGTAATACATTTATTGCCAGATTTCCTCCTTTAGTTCATGGATTAAGAACGAAACTCCAGGAAGATGTTCTAATGTGATAGCAATGATCGTGAAGCTGCTGAAAAATGATGTCAATATCATATGAGAGAATTATCAATCTTTCTAGGGTTATTTTTGAAGGTTTTATAAACATTAAAAGATGCTGAAAATTATGATGATAATTTACAATGAAAATTTTTCAGTAGGATACTTCTATAACAAGTAAAAATTATAGGTTTTATTTATTTTTTCTAGTTTATGGCAATAAGAGGCCTATATCCTTTGTTGATAATCATCAAGAATTGGAGTTTGATAATACGCAGAGTTTAATGGCAAGTATTCGGCGGACCTGACCTGGGAATGTTTCTTTTTCCACTGAACCAGAAGTATACCGAGTCTCCACCAACCGTGACACCGAATCACACATATGACAACTATTACACTGCAAAGGTACTGACACAGTATTAGATACTCTGGCCGTTGGCATCACCAACATCATTATGGCTATCGTCTGTTATACTAACTTTTGTTGAAAGATTCAAAAATCTATTAGTACGGGAGGCAGTACACTTCTGTTTACATCATTCGTTTTTATGTTGTTGTTTAGGTATTATAGGCAAAGAAAATGCAACTCTGTCAAGCTTTTAGTGTTGCCTTCCTTCATTAATAACAATTTTCGAAGCATGTAAAAAATAATGTGTCTTCTAAGTACAAGACTTAAATTTTGTAGAGTGATAAAGTATACCTTAAAATGTAGGAAAATGATACTCTGTGGTGTCGGAAGTGTTGCCATCGAAACTCTGCCACCCACGCAAGATA